TTCTAGGGGCTTAGCGATCATAGTTTTCTAAGTGCTCCAAAAATAGAGGTTAAAAAAGGACGCGATATTAAAGTTGGGCATTTATATATAGAGCAGAGGGCAGCCAGCTCGGTATCTGCTTAACACAATTATTACGGGTAATAGGAACCTCGGGGGGATAATTTGCTTACAAAGTAGATGAAAAAGGGCGAGGCTCGCAGCCTCATCATCATCATCATCATCATCGTGGCACGCTGATCGACATCATCAGTGGATATGGTGAATATACACGGCTCGACTCTAGCAAGAGCAAGAGCCTGGCCAAATGGAATATATGGAATATGTATATTGTGTGTCCGTATACTTGGCGCGCATACACATATACATAGCTGTATAGCAGCTGGAGGCAATGCTCGGGCGAGCGAGTTTTACCAAGGAAACTTACTACTCATAATCAGCCATCGAAACGGTTCCTTTATATATGCTCCTTGGACGCTAATGTACGTTGTTTCCGGCCGCGCGCGGGCACTCGCTGCACTGCGAGAGAAGGACGCGCGCAAGTATACTCGAGCGGAGAGCAGATATTATGCTGCAAGCTTCATCTCTCTCTCTCTTTCTCTTTTTCTCTGTCTCTCCGTCTCTCTCGGCGTACCTACTACGAGGAAATCTTGCCGCTTATGCCTATATAATAAACAAGAGAGAGTGCGTAGTTTAATGAATTTGCGATGCTGCTGCTGCTGCTGCCGTGCGTAGCAGGACGATGAGAAATCCAAGATCCGACTGTGCGTAATAACGCGCAAACCTAATATTTGTCGATTGTTGGGTATACTTAGCAAATATCTCGGCTGGTCTAGTATTATAAATAATTTTGCATTTTCCGCAAGATATGTGCGTAACGCACGCTTTATTTCGTTCCTTCAGTAATTTCACTAAGCTCTTATTCGTATATAATTTCCATTCAATCTATTACCCGGGAAAGAAATTGAAGAAATTGAAAAAAAAAAGCCGGAAAAAAAATAATAGGATAAATAAAGTAAAAAATGTGCACTCTCAGTGACAATCGATGATCCGTCAACGTGAAGTGCAGCATAGATCGCTCCACTACACGAGATCCACCCGCTGGAGTATATAAATATATACTTGCTCGTATAAATGCGCGCGAAAGACGAACACCGAACAGAAGTCGATAAGTATAGATTCTGTCGATCGGCTCGGAGCTGCGAGCGCCCGAGAAAGATGCGTTGCGGTTATTAGGGAGATTTAACATGGCTTTAACGCACATATAAACCTCAACACGTCATTTTTCACAAAGTTTTTGGAGATAATTTGGCATGTTCTCCAACAATTTGGCAGTACAGTATTCTTGAAAAAAAGGATGCTGCTGGTTGCTTCCTGGCTTTATTGGCAATATGTATACTATACGCTCGCTCGCGCGCGAGCTCTTAGCTCGTAGATGGTAATTATTTTGATGATTTTAAATCGCACGCAAGGCACGCGCGCTTTCATTTTTATTTTATTTTATTTTATTTTACTTTATTCCGCAGTTCACGCATACACACATGCGCATACACACATTTCTACACGCTACTGTAATATACATTCGAGAAGTAGGTCAACGCGCGCCAATCAAGTCCTTACGTCACGTCCATGGAATATACTTGTACGAGTAGATAGTTTTTCCACAAAATCATAGTTTTATGCAAATATGAAAACAACCTTCGTCGTACGTACACCGATGATAATCTTGCGCGAATGGCGCAAAATACTTCCATCGTGTGTCGTTTCGCGCGTCATGCAATCAGCGATATGTGTCATTTTCTTTTTATTCGCATAAATATTAATAAATGCATAATTATGTGTACGAAAAAAAATAGGAATACTTATCATTTCATTTTCTGTTTGTTGCAGGTAAGCGATCATCCACACAAAACCAACGTATATCATGCAACGAGCGATCATGATACAGCCGAATCAAGTTTGTTGATGAAATAGCTAATAGAAATTTTTATATATAATTTATGTAGGTTTATTGATAAGAGCAAGCTCATTGAGCTGGATTGGTTATTCGCTCGGCACGTAGCCGTGTTTTGCGCTAACGCCCACTATTTACCACTCTCATTGCCGCTTTTCTCATTCACTCGTATAATATACAGAAGACTCGTGTCCGTTTCACTGGACATAGTCTCGTTTATTTTCGACGCATTTATCGCATCTATTCGGCACTCGATCTAGGTAGTGCGTCAATGTGTCCGCCTGCATGTGTTGATATAAAGACGTTGTCGCGCAAGGGGGGTTGTACGCATGCCTTGGCAGCTTTTTTACCCCCTTTCTCTCTTTTTGATATAAAGAGAGAGAGAGAAAGACAGAAAGAGGGTGTGCGTTCGAGCGAAAGCAACACGCGACGCGCCTCTCTCCCTTTTTCTCACTCAGCGTAGCAGCCGCAAGTGACCACACGATGACTAACAGGCTGCTTTCTCCAAACTAGAAATGCTTTTTTTCGTGTGTATTTAAAGAGCCAACGACGCTTGCACATTTTGCAGAAAGATTTTTCAACCATCAAAAAAATTCATTCGTATCGCGTTTGTATTCGAAACATAAGAACTATAGTGCACTCGTCGTACAGGTATTATCGATTTGAAGCTTAAATAAATATTGATGCAATGCATCGATCCTTTGCGATGAATAATATCTGAAATAGCATTCTTCGAGGTAAGCCAGCAAAAACACGTCCATAGAAAGTTTGATGCTTGATATCGGAGTCTACGTATACACACACACACACACTCGCGTAGTATTGAGCTCGACGCAGTCTCAGGGGCTGGTAAGAAATGTGGCTACGCCACTGGCCTCACGGTAGATAATTGGCCTCTTCCCCTTGCCAACTCTGCCGCTGCTGCTTGCTTGGTTGTTCGGTTCGCTCGGCTCGGTCACTGCTGTATGCGTTAATGTATACACACGGGCTCATGCACGCACACACACGTGTGCATGCAGGGATATACGAAAGCGTCGAGCACAATATGCGCCGAGAAGCGTGTGTTCCACTTGGCGGGCGCAACTCCGCCGTGTGTGTATGTGTGTGCGTATATTACATACTGCTGCACTGTGTGCGCAAGCGAGATTTGAAATTCAAAGTCTCCGATTAAAAACGCATTAGAATCTCATAATGCCTTCTTATACGCCCGTAGGATCTATCTCTATCTTTCTCACTCTCGGCTGCTTTTCTAATCTACTGCTCTCATCTATGCATGAGAGCTCTACGTTATTTGTCGCTAAGAATATTAATAGCTGAACCTACAAGAGATTGCATTGGATGGGACTTGAGAGACCGAGAGGTACACATACTTTTTCTTGCAGAATCACTTCTTTTTTCTTTTTATTCATCGGCGGGCATATAACTAACAGGAAGATCATCGATTGATTGAATGAAGTCATTTTTCTCGTTAAATCGAGTTTTTATCTGGCAATTGAAATCTTCCAGGAATATTATTAAAATTCACTCTCATCATGTGGCGTAAAATACATTCAGTGATTTTTGCAAAAGATATGATGGACGGATAACTCATATGTGAAGAGCTCGTATATAATGTGTACGTGTTTAAAATGATTGACGGACGTGTCGCTAAGCACAGATATTGACGCTTCGTGTGCGCCGAATTACAGTCTCGCCATATATGTATAACGCACGCGTACGTGCAGCATTAAACTGCATGAATATTAATTATGATAATGATTGTTTCACACCGCCACATGGTGTTACATTTGAGGATATTACACATTGACGACGACGACCTAGCCGCAGCGTGACGAATAATTTTCCCAATATCTCCGCAGCAGTGAATTTCACTCGAGTAAATCCACGAAACGCTATGTACATATACCCACGGTTTCATGCACGCGTATTATATGCAGTGCATAAGCGTAGTTACCTTATAAACTCGCGAAGCAGGGGAAGAAACGAACGAGTTTACGAGCTTTTTGAGAAAAAAACAGCGCGCGAGGCAAAGTACGATGAAAAAAGATGACAGGTGTGGATAAGCCGCAAGAAGAGAACACTTCGTTAACTTGCGATACACGCGTGCTGTGCCTTTGCCGCTTGTGCACTTTATTCTCTCTCTCTTTCTCTCTTTTTCTGCGGCAATATAACGCCGCGCACCGATGTTCGTCTGCGCTTATGAACGTTTATATAAAACTCTCGAGTACACAGCTCACGTTTTGAAGTTGTCTTCGGAGCGCGTGGAAAAAATAATTGCAATAAGTATTAACGCGTTTTTGATAATCGTTTTGCTTCTTTGCGAGTACATGCTTGTATAAAAGCAATTTTAGATCGCTTTCCCAAAAAAAAAAAGTTAATTTCAATTAATAGTAAGAAAAAAATCTAATATATTGGATAGTACATACTAATCAAATTTTATAAATAGTAGACATTTGAACAGAACGGATCCAAATATAGAAGATCTAGACGTTGACATGAAATCTAGTCTTATACGATGAATTTTGGACTCCGCTATACTTAAAGAGCTAAGAGTAGCCACGCGTGCACGTAGCGCCGCATTCGGCGCCAAAACGCAATTCGAGCCGCAGCTTATACAGCACAACACGAATACAACGAGATAACATATATGCATAAGCTCAAACACACGCAACGTCGTACAAGAAAATATGCAGGCGCTTGGCGGCAGCGGCAGCAGCGCTGCTAAGAGAGGCGGCCTGCCCGAGTATCATTTCTGCACACGTTGGATGAATTGGGAAAAGGGGCGTGGCCGGTACGTTCTCCCGCCGCCTCTTGATCGGCCCCCTTCGCGGAACGCGAGCGAATCGCTGCACTCGCCAATTCCCTCCGTGTGCTCTTTTATCGGTATTGACTGGCAGGGCTCCCCCACTTCTGGCGGTCGACCTGGTGCGTGCAGAATAGTCGGTGCAGCTCCGAGAAAGAGATGGAGAGGGGGAGATTACGCTAGAGGGAGAAACGGCGCGGTCTCGACTGCCCCTCGAGGCCGTGCCAGTCTGTTACGGGGCGAAGAGCGGCAACCACCGCGCGACGCTGTCAACCGGTTCTTCCCGGGTATTGCAAAAATTGAACGCAAAAAGTTCTTTATCTAGCTATCGCTAACCCTGTCGCGGGGCTGGTTTGTCGCCTTTCGTACACTCGTTCGTCTACTCAGTGTGTTTACAATATATTGCGTTTCATGTTTATTTTTTTGATTAAATAAAAGTGCAAATTGCTCATCACTTATGAGACGATCATTTGTGAAAAAAACACGTCAACGTGCGCGTTTTATCGTTGAAATTTCGAACGATAATCGCACGAGCTTTTGTTTCGTATAAGTAAAACAAATTGTGAGACTCGACTAAACATAGAGATAAAAAGAGTTGATCCAGTCTCGCGAGTTTTTGGTTGCTCCACTTGTCACCACGAGTGATACACCAGCGTCACGACGTAACATGCTTACGGACATGACACCGGCGGCTGCCGGTCAACTCTATCCTCAACTACAGTCGATCAACAAATCACCGGTTCACGGACACGTGGTGAGTGCACAGACGTCAAAATGTCAATTATAATCCCGAAATTTACGCGAGTGACACCACGCACACGATCGTCCGATGCGTTATAGTAACCTTTGTCCGAGCTCGAATGACAGCTGTTCCCACTGCCAATGTGTACACACAAATGTTCTCTCTTTCATATGGAGGAGCTGACAATGTGAAAGCTTGCTTTGGGCAAAGGTGTCCATAGCTACCGCATTCAGCTTCTTCTTTTTCATTTGCACGGTGTATCGAGATTTGTATCGAAGTATATTCATATGGGTGCTGCAGGTGTACAGCTATTGATGGATTTAAAGTACAATTTGACAATTGGCTACAGCATAGATTATTTATAAATTCGATTTCTTTTAAATATCACTTTCAGTATTTTACAATAAGTGTAATCTTTGCTAATAGGGAGTGGATCACAATTTTATTTATAATGAATCTCCTAACCCCATCTTTTGTTTAATTCAAAAATTAATTTAATACAATTTATATCTTCTGATACTTTCTCGGTGAATTTTATATATAACTCACACATTATACGGTAGCGAACTGTAGTAACTCTCTCGTTATACCATCGTTATAATAAATTCATGACTTACCATTCACGTTGGTTGTTAAATGCTCTTACTTCTTATAGCACAGACCTACATTCTATCAAGAGCTCTCACAAGCATAAAAATATTACTGACACACACAGATTACTCATAGGTATATAGAACCAGTCATTGCCTATTCACAAATATTTAAGCCGTTTTGTGCACTATGTTAACTAATTCCACTGCTATTGTTGGAACACTCTTCGAGCTCGGTAATACTCGCCAAATACCTTCGAATAAGAAAATTAACGCCCTAGTCTAATCCTAAAAGCTTCGATATTATTCGATTCTATTGTATTTATGAAGAAGCAGAAAAGATCTGTCTGTTGTAAATTTTGCGAGTCCGAGCGATGAAATCATCAATTCCTTTCGGACACGCGCATTTCCGGATTCTCTCTCGGTCTCGAGTGTTTGTGTGCGTTATACATAAATACGTTGTATATATTCGCGCCGGCGGCGGCGGCAGCAGCAGCCAGAGCCGCTTAGGGCATTATGTCCTATTATACGAGTTGGCGACTGATCCGTGGATAATCCACTCAATGTGTATATATTTTGACATTTCTTTTCATCGTTCATAGCGCGTGTATATACACGCAGAGATGCGTGTCTCCACATGTATAAACGCTACAAGCGGAGTATTTTATCCTCTATTGGAAGGTTGAGAGCACTCGACATTTGGAGTATGTGCTCACGCGCATATGTATACTACGCGCTCAACGCAGCTCAGCGGACCAATTTTTTGTTTTACGATCCTCCGCCAGCAGCAGCGGCTGCAGTGGCTCGCTACTTTTTTCTGCATACGGTATGAGCATATACTACACATGAAGAGCGCCAATGATTTATGAGTCGGCGTTAAAAAACGATGATTTCCTTTACGATATACCGTATTCGCGCGCCCGTGTGCTATACACGAGTGAGCTACTACATAAGGCGGATTATTAATCGAAAGCCACACGATAGTACATAATTAATCTCGTGCTTCTGTGCATATGTGTGTGTGTATGCTTGTACGGCTATACTAATGTATAATATGCATGTGCGAATGGTGTTGGCTGGTCAAGTTCACCGACACACACGGAGAAACAATATGTTTATAATATAAGAGAGACTGAGTCGCTTTTTTTCTCCATATACACGGTCTCATGAGGCGTGCGCTGTGCGTGTTTGACTTTGATTTTCGAAGGCGTCTGCACACCCTTTGTTCTATCGCATCGTCATTTCTTTCTGGCCTCCGATTTACTCTTTTTTTCTTCTCTTCGTGCGCGGCGAAGCTCCTCTGCACAGTCAGAGCACCTACCATGCGTGTGTGTGTGTATAGACGTTTCTATATGCTCGCTCGTTTGTTCTTTCATCTGTGTGGCTGCGAGAGGTATACAGAGGTCTACGTAAACCCAAAAACACTTTGCCGAATCAAAGTGCGGCGCATAGAAAGAGAGAAAGACGAGAAACGGAACGAAAGAGGAAAGGTTAATTGGCAAAAAATGCACCTGCTCTATCATCCTTGATGATTTGCAAAAGTCTTTCGTTTTCTTTCTTGCTCTGTCTCTCGTATGAGCTCTTAATGGCTTTGTAAACATATTCATTTATCAGTGCAGGTACATCTAAAAACGACACTGAGGCCGCGCGCGCTTGCTTATGCGGCTCGGAACATTATTTTCTAAGCCGACCCACTGATTTTTCTGCTAAATCAGCTTTCTCATTAAATAATAATTTTAATGCATTTCATATATCTTCGTGAGAAGATTTTTTCTTCGGAAACTCCGGTCTCACCAAGTCGATCACCTATATACCGAAGATATATTCAAGATTTGATAAAAGCACACACACACACTTATACAGAGACAGCTTTCAACAATGTGTACGTACAAAGATGCGCTCGAATTTTCTCATATACGCACACCTAGGCCGAAAAATCGAATATCGAGTGTCGTTTTCACGAGTACCTGCTGCTATACGCGCGGGGAATTTATCGCTCGAGTCCAACGGCAAAGAGCCAATTATTTATCCGATCTTCTTTTGTGCACTGTAAACATACACTGTATATACAGACGAGAGACAGATAGGGAGACGATGCGCGCTCTCGATGCCTCCGCACATTCGATGGGGCCGATGCGTGGGACAAGCAATTCGATGCCTATTTCCGAGGCACGTTCTATAGAGAGGTCTTCGTCACCTGATTCCAACAAACATATACGCCGTCGCCGTTGCTGCTGTTTTGTCAGTTTCGCGGATGCTGATGCTGCGTGCAGAGAAGGAAAAAAGTTTCGTTTATCCTCCTCTTTTTTGCACTCTTCGGAGCGCGCGTCAATGCCAAAACGACGCTGAGATATTATATGCAGTTGCGATATAATGTAGGAAAAGAAAAGAAGCTGCGGTGCGTAAGAAGACTCCTCGCGCAGCGCAGCGTGAGTAACCATCGTATTGTTTGATTAAAAGATCGATGATTAAAGAACAAAGTGTACTCGGAGAGGCTTGCTATCGATGCTTTCATTGTTGTATCATCGTTCGTCGATTGTTACAACATTGCGTTATTATACTTCCGCTTAGCCAATCGTGGCGCGCGGTTTTTTTCGGATATACATTAGTATCGTACTTTTTTAGCGTGCTATTTGAAAATTTACGTATGAAATAGACCACCAATCATTCGATCGAAACTGGACTTTATCAATTTTACTTAATGCTAAAGCTTCGTCTTTTCTCTTTCGGTTTTCGAGAATTCAGTAATACGCCATCCAGCGGTAATTTATGAACTACTATGCACACGATACGTGAATATTCCAGTAGGAACGTCCATTAATTGTACTCGAAATTTACTAGTAACTTTTGCAGTGATAGTAGCAAAGAATACTCAACATATAACCATACGTCCCCCATATGAATAGTTTCTATTTGTTCATCGAAGCTATGGCTTTTCCTATTTATGCTGATGAACATAAATCAAGCACACACACAAAAGCTCAATCGATAGAATTAAATCGAGCTGCAAGCTAAGGTGCCAAAATATTGAACGATCCACTCGAAGAAAGAGTATTATACACATCATGCGGATCATTGTGCAGCTAAGAACCAATTGTGGTTATTCATAACGCAATATATCAATTTTCTCGAGTGTATTCATATATATACACGCTATTTAGCGTGCGCAGTACCTCGAGATAAGTTTAAGCTACTACTGCTACTCTGTGGGTCGTGAGTATAAGAATTGCGCAACGGGCCTCCTTGGAGATTCAGGCGTTTATTTCACTTTATTCTTTATTATTTTTTTTTCTTCTTACTCTCAACTCTTCGAGAAGTGAACCCCCCGTGTGCCGAGCGCTACTCGCGGTACACACATACCTTGTGTCGTGTATTATAGCGCGAATATAATAGCCGTGTCACGCGGGGCCACCGTAGCTATGTGCGTGCACTGCTATATGCATGCGCGCGTAATGCGATTTCCAGCCGAGCGTAACGCGCGCGACAATAAACTGCCAAACGGCCATTGTGGGCCTTTTTAGCAGTAAGGATTTATCCCGATGCGGATGTCAAGAGGCTCTCTAAGCTCATACGCAGCACTCGAGAGCTACGATGCCAATTTGTCAGCTCTCGTGAAGTGCGTAGAAAGGAGCAGATTTTCCAGCAGAGCGAGCATCGTGTTTTGTGCCCCGTGTACGTGTCCTTCGCGCGTCCCGGAATATATATCCGCTTTTATTTTGGCACTTTCGATGCAACAGCCTCTCTGGTGCTGATACATTTTTTTATGTATAATGTTCCGGAGCGAGTTGCTATGTATGCCATACATTGGACGAATAGTTTTTATTGCTCTTCTTTTGGCCATTCAGTTCCAAATCCGCTTTTCGGTCGCAAACGTGCAAATAGTTGACACAATGAGCCGTTTAGTGTCTCTTCGTTCAACGCAAACTGGCCATAATATATACATAAATGATTCTGTGCCCATTCAGTCCAGAGTTATTAACGTCATCCCAGGCACTGTGCAGATTTGTCGAACTCTTTAAAGACCCATTCCAAACGTCTATACTACTTTCGCGCATTTACGTCGAATTATTAACTAGTTTGAGCATTGTGTTATTATGTTAAATGAGATTTTTTTTGCATATTTCGCAGGAATTATGTATGAGCAATCGTACAAAATATTTCAAGCGCTCTGTAAATGAGAAAACAGTAGTTCGAGCATTCCATATGCTTCGGATCAATGTGTATATCCAACAATTTGAAAAACACGTCAACTTTCATTCTTTCTCTTTTTCTTTCTCGCGCCGTTTACACTCTTTTGGCAGATGTTAGCACGTGCTGTGACAAAATGGCCGTCACTATTTCGTTTGAACGTCTGTATATAATGCACACACACTCGCACACACCTTCGGCCCCCTTAGCCACTTCTTTACGATTGCGTTTCGC